CTGTGATAGAACAAACTGGTACGCATGACTATGGAAACAAGTGTGATGAAGCTCAACACTCCCTCAGGTAGAATGGAACAGGACAGTCCAGTCCTATTCTGCCTAACCCAGTAGAATTTGTCTTTCTAACCTCAAGTGAAAAACAATCAAACATCAAAGAATGAAAATTCAATATAATTAAGATACATTTTCTCTTCAAACAGAAATTCTCCATGTGCACTTACAACCAAAATGGTAATGGAATTGTAATCAAATTATTACTAAGTACATTTTTGTGTCTTTGTTCTGAGTAAAATGCTCAGATGCTGTGGCTGTTTTCCTGAGAAGAATTTACCTTTTATTAAATCAGGGGTAACGTGCCATGGTAGCAGATCAGCCGTTTGCGATAAAATTAGACAGATGGCTAATTTTTCGAAAAATCTAAATGATAATATTAGCCACTCTTAAGAGCAAGCCCGCTTACAGTATGTGGAGGAAGCTAAAACAACTGCAGATGTTTCTTTTTTTATTATTATCTAGACCAAGTGAAGTACAACAATGGCCTCTACTCTATAAGTCTTTCTCCGTGGCAGCCTGGGCAGGTTGAGGAGGGGGCAGGAGGGGGATTTAAGGTGGAAGACTAGGGACCCTGCAGGGGTTTGGCTCCACTCTAATCCGGGTGATTATGAGCGAGGGGACGCACACATAAGCACGCCATTACCGCTGGTATTTGCTACTGGCGGCAGACTGGACTCCAGCCGTTGTCCGGGTCAGAGGCGAGACCGCTGCAAAGATGTGACCCAGCAAAGACCCGTGGAGGAGGCTGTGTATGCTGGAAGTGATGGGTGTGGGATGGCTTTAGTAACTCAATGTTTGTGCTCAGATAAAAGGAATATTATCATGTAAATCTGTTTGAATTGGGTTATTTGTCTTGCCCATGAGAGACGGCAACAATTGTATGTGGATCTCAAATGCACTACAAAATCTTTCAACGCACAAATATTGAACTAAGCAACGCAATATAGCTAGTTGCTTGCTCTCAAAATTGTTTGGTTCTATCCCAAGTTTTCACATGCATGTGCGCAAGACTATCCCATGTGAGCACACATGGGGTATTCTTGCGCAGTTTTTCCAATGTGGTTTTATTGCAAATAGCATATAAATTCTTGAATCTTGAATCTGTCGCATCTTTGTCTTTTTCAGACAGAAAAAAATAACAGGAAAGGACCAATCTTGCTCAGTTAACCCACTCTTTTACTGAGTATGCCAAAGATTATATGTTTTCAAATCAGATGAAGACGGCATGTTGTGGACTGATTTTGGTCACCACAATTTACTTACTTCACTTTAGTTTATTCTTTCCGTTGCGACAAAAAATATATATCATTTGTGAAAAACATAGGTCAGGTACATCCAGATTTAGATAGTGGTAAGATAAAGTTATTTTTTTGTTTGGAACATGCATTATATATAGAGAGAAAGACAATGTTTGTACGTTATTCCATAGAAATTACATGGAAGTTACATACAACTATACTTTATGCTTATATACTATATTAATTTTAGCTCAAAAGTGAAACAATGGGACTTTAATTTAGTTGCGGAACCCTGTTGTGGGAAAGTTTTTGCAGATGTGGTGGACTAACTCGCTCTATTTGTCTTTGAAGGTCTTTTCCTCGGCACGTAGACAGGAATATTTTCTTAAACTCCGGGTGAACAATATTTGTCCACGAACTCTGCACTCTTCTGAGAGGGCGCCATAGAGGCCAGTCCAACACTAACGGCAGGAAAGAAAAAAAATCCCTGAACTGATCCCTGGGTCTTTGAATGCACCACAGACTATAAGGCTGGGGTGCTACTGCAGAGGTATAGTGATGCGTCCCGACAGCTTTGGGACAGTGCGGAGGCGAGGGAGAGGAGCGGCTTTCACAAAACCCGGGACAATCGCGGCAATGAGGGGTGAGCCGAGGCTGTGCTCAGTGCCGTGCTGGAGTCCAAGTCATGGCTGTCAATCTCGGCTCAACTAAATACGCTGGAATTGCCTTGTTAGAGTTGAAATGCTTATCATCGAAGTTTAATTTGGAGGAATATTCTGGAGAAATGGGTTGGACTTTAGAATTGCAGTGAATATATGAAAACTGAAGTGGAGCAATTGTTGGACTGTTTAAATGTTAAGAAAGACTTCAGATTCTGACTATCAAATGTAGGTATAACATGTTTTTTGGTGGCTGAGCGGAGGCTGTAACTTCTAGTGATACAAAAAGTTACACAAAATTACATATGACTTGCAATCCAGCCGGTTCAATCCGGAAATCAAAAAAACGGATCTCAGGTTGGCACCTTGAATGCAGATATACAAAAACAACCAGTTAAAACTTTGATTTAAAACGGCTTTTTGAAATACTTGAATAAAATGGCTCTTTAAAAAGCTTTTGTGTTGTACACCTGCTCCTGATTCACTCCTAAAATGCAACAACTACATAATTTCTTATCCATAACTCAATTAAAAATATTTATCAACTACAACACATTTTGGCCTCAAAAGATTCTACCAGCGCTTTAATTGACTAAAGCGCGGAGTGCCCTGGAGAGTAGGGGAAAAGTGCTGTGATGTGAAAAATCTATTTGATTCAATTTATTTTTTTATTAATTAATTAAGGATAGTCTCTGGAGATCTTTTTTAGGCATTTTTAAAAGACAGGAGTTCAAATGTGTTCAAACCCTGAGACCCACTCCCTCAAGAACGCCTACAGTCACAATTAAACTGAATCTGTTGGTGGACCTTTTACTTACAAACAAATGACTGGAGTCTTTGTGAAGCATAGGCCCTGTAGTTCTGTCCTCTGATGACTAATATACTAATATATATAAGAGAAAGGTAAAACTCCAAAGGCACTTGCATGTTCTTTGGTGTGTAAGCTCTGGTAAAGTGTCTGGGGGTCTGCTTTAATAGACTGTTGAAAGACCAACTCTAAATGCTAAAATAAATAAATAAATAATTCCTTTGACTACAAGTTGTTCAAGAGGAGTTCAAACTTGTCCCGGTTCATCCCAGATTGTTTGATTTGACCTGAAAGAAGACAGATTGAGCTTTATTCTCATCATTTACATTTCCAGGAGTTGATGGTTTTATATTTTTTTCCTATTGGCCCAGAAATACATCAGTCAGAACATTGCTTGTAGTACAGGCAAAGCAAAGCAGAAGTCATTCCCCTGTGATCAGACAAAAACTCGGAAAACCCGCACCATTCACAAACGTGTGTCGGTTGTAAAAAATAGTCTACCATCTCCCTGGAATGTGGAGTTGTGAATATTTTGTTTACATACTTCCAGTAAAGTGACAGTAATGACAGTAGCAAGGCCGCTTAGTCAACTCGCGTGTCGTAACAAGTCGGGCCAAAACTCAAATGACTTCTATTTCTCCTATCTCTGCTTTTTGAAATGTATACAACGTTATCCAATCTATTTTCTTTCATACTCCTGATGTTCGCTGATTGCCTTTCCCTCGATGTTCCAAAACATATTCAATTTGCCGTTCAATATGTTAGGGAGTGCTCAATTTTTGTAGTTTTTTCACTGAATCAACGGGTTTCAAACCGCTTCAGTGCAGCAGCGATTGGATACGTTAGAATTCCATCAGTGTCTTTGAGAAATGTTTGGCGCCGGTACACGTGCGTTTGTTTCTGCAGACGCCAATAGAAATCCATGCGTATATGCCAGAACCTCTGACAAAATACTGCTTAAATTAGTCATAATATAACTACGCAAAGTTGGAATGAAAAGGATGCCGGGTTTGAAATGACTTCACGCAAATTGTAGAGTGCTTTGTGTTATCTTAGTTGTGATATGAATAAAGAATACTCTTACCTTGGTTCACGTTCATCATGGCAAATATGGATGGGTTTTATGCTTCATATTGTGACATCAGAAGTATCCAGAGACAACAGCATCAACCAGGTCAGACTAGCATGCTAATAAAAGAAATACAATATTTCAATGGATTTTGTGCCTTGGTGACGGACTAATTGATTGGTTTTCAGGCTCGCGAGGCATCAGTCATCTGTTGAGATTTCTAATTCTTGCAATTTTTTTTTTTAAATGATGTTCCAGCCTTCACAGCTTCCAACGCATTTGATCAAAACATCCCCAATATAGACATGTTACACCTCGTTAGCCCTGATTCTGCAAAAATCATCATCATCCTCACATCTTTTATTGATATTGATGTTTTTCAATGCATGGAGAATCAATTCAATTCAATTTGTTCTTGTACAGCCCTAAATCACAACAGTACTTATCTCGGAGGACTTAACAAAACCATTGAAATCGCCAACATAGATCAGAGAATCAAACAGTAAAGAAAAGGTATTGGTCCATAGGGGTGTAGACCAATGTCCCCCTATGAATCTAGATTGATGTGCAGGATACATTTGTATATTAAAATTTTTCTTTAGATATTAAAAGATGAGCCTTAGAACATCCACACTTAAGGCTGGTGTGTTGGATAAATAGGCTAAACCATAAACCAGAATCCTGTATTTATAGTAATAATATTAGCAGAAGACTTGTTTGCAAAGGACTGGTGGTGTACAAAATTTTTATTTATAAAAAAAAAAACTGGCATACATTATAAGTTATTTCAAAATATATTGTCTGAGAAAATCTTTAAGGCACCAAAAACCTCAATTAGTTAGCCCTCAAACTTATCGTTTTACATCAATCATCCTACATCCACTTTTAACACTAAACTGTCTATTTAGATACATCTTTGTGGTTAGAAAAGTGTAATTGGAGCTTGTTCCGTTCACATTAACGGTGTCATCACTTGCATTTAGTTTAGTCACTTTTAATTGCATGTTTAGCATCAGCATTACTTTTCATTTGACCACCCCATACTGTAAACATTCACCTAATTCTCTGCTATTATCCATGCTGATCTCTTCTTTGATGGCTAATCCCCATTCAAACGCACTCTTTTGTGATGCGCCGCTAACCCACAGTGCGTTACAGTGCCACAGGCCTCACTGTTCCAGCATGGAGCTCTCGAGGCTGGAGGGGGGGAAGCGGGTGGATTCGTACCCAGGATAGATGCAGCCTGCTGGGGGTCGGACGTGCTGGAGGACAGATGTGTGCAGACAGCTGATGAGACGAGAGGGGGATTAGCAGCAGCATGGGGGGCTTGTCATGCTCCGTGTCGAGGTGGTCCCACAGGAGATATGGCCAGTCTTCAGAAAATATGTTTCGGATCAAAGGCGTAGTTGTGTAGTAAATCAACGTGCCACTTTTTATCGCAATTAAACTGTATCAAGTCATGACCAAACACCAAAGACATATTATTTGTGTCCACTTTGGCCCTGTAAAATGATCTCGAGAATAATTACTTTTTGATAAAGTAAAAATAATTATTAAACCTGAGATACCCAACTTTATTCCTCCATAAATAATACATGTTTATTACCACAGATTGTCATGAAAAGGTAAAATGTCAAATTTAAATGTGAACAAACCAGACCACAACATGCCGTCTTCATCTTATTAGAAAACATGTTATCTTTGGAATACTTCTACAAGACGACTCACTCACTCAGACACCGGCCCAAACACTCTCTGACCCCCTACACCTCTTTTCCACTGCGTGCTCTGTGTTTAAGGCATTTCTTTTTTCTCCACTTGCTTCTTCTGTAATTATCTTTTTAGAAGAAAACACATACAGGCGATACACATTGAGCCAAATTGCTTTGTTCCTTCCATTCATAATTGAACGGTATGGCGATATATAGTAATTGTGACAAGCCGGTTAGTGGCCCATTGTAACTGCCCATATCCGTTATTAATCACATAAAGCACTGTTCAAACTAATGTACTTTACCTAATAAATGTTCTCCAATGATCATATGCATATTGCGTACGGAGCTCCATAGCTTCAGTGCACAAGCGAAGGCACTTTCCTCCGTTGTGTAATTGGTTAAACAGGGGCCTTTACTTTGCCAAATGAGCTCCCCCCATCTGTCGCCTGTGTGCGTGCCATCTCACTCTGCATTACTCCTAGCGTATCACAGGACTCTCTCTATAAGATCCCATGATGGGCCCAATTTCGCCCTCTCCCCCCTCCGTGGTGTCATTTCCAAACCAAACATGCTCCGGCTTTCCGCTCGCCGGTTTTATCGCCGGCGGGGCTGTCTCTCCATCGCCTCTTTTGACTTTTTCATTTCTCCCCGTCCTTCCTTCCTGTCTTCCTTCCATCCGTCCGTTCGTTTTGTCTGCTATTCCTCGGAGCATGACTGCCGCATTAGAGGCAAATGTCTTTTCATGGAAGATTTGCCGCAATTTCCAAAATGGCTGCTTTGCCTAATGGACAACTGCCTTTGGTTCTAATGAATGATTAGGGTGTGTATGTGTGGGAATATGGAGAGGGGGGTCTCGGGTGAGAAGAGGGGAACAGGGATAGGCATAGGATGTATAGCTTGGAGGATTGGGTGAGGTAGCTGGGGGATACATAACCTACATATCAGAAGGAGAGATTAACATTTCGGTTGATTACTGGGCAGAATCAAGCACAGTCAAGAGCTCAGGATTGGTTCTATGTTTAATATGGTTTTAGGGGTATATTTATCTTTGTTTTGTTTTTTCATTTTCAAGCCCTTTATTGTCCATTTCTGGGTCAGGGGGGTGGCAATGAGAGCTGCCACCCAATGCTCATAGCACCAGTCCCTCGCTGATCTTCTGCAGGGGGTGAGTCCACAGGAAGATGGCTACTCCGTCAGCGGTGAAACAGCCTTGGTCTTTCAGCGGGGGCTATCCTTTTGTATAAATAATCTAATCATCCGTATATAGCCTCAAAATCATGAAATTGGTAGAAATATGGTAGAGTGTGGCATTGAAATGTGCCTTGTGAAGATCCCATGATGAATACTTATTAGTTACAGTTTAAATCAAGATCAAAAAGACTTAGTGAGAAACTGGAAACATCCACACATTGCCCCTTGCCCGCCTGTGTTGGCACTGAGTGTTACGTGTTGACTTTTTATATTGTGTTGCCTCCAACAACTCTAATAAAGTTGTGTTCATATCTCACCATCTCTCACCATTCTGGGCTGACAAAGCTCAAGTGGCAAGGGACAATCCTCACTCCTGATTGGCTCATTTTATAAGAGCTTCTCCAAAAAGACTTAATTTGGACCAGATTGATCAAAATGAGTTCCTCTCCTCTAAAGTGTATGAATGCAATTTCCAAAACGTTGTAGTTTAGTTTGCAGCCTCACTTGAGAGTGAGATTAACCATATTTATTTGAGATATTCCCCTCTGGCAGTTAACAAATTTATGACGGAGTTGCAAAAGTGTCATAGTCTCTTCAATGATTGTAAACCGATTTGGACAGTTACTACATGGATGCTTGTCCACATTCCCAAAACTCTAAAGAGTGGTGTGTTGAAGGAAAATCAACTCTCCAAAAATATCCACACGGACTAGAGTGCCGTCTTTGTACCTTGTGCGTAGCAGCTCAGCATGGGGCCGACCGAAATATTCCTCATTTCAACAGAAGAATGCATTAAGCTATGGGAAAACTGCTAAATCGCAAATTGAAAATGCTGTTTAAAGTTCAGATTGAGTTAGGACTACACAATTCAAAGCAATGATCATGAATTACAAAATTCTTTGAACGGGCAGATCCAGCCAACACGCCAACTTTTGACAGTCAAAGCTGGGGGACATAATTTTGAATCCACACAAAACTACACAAAAAACTACATAGAATCTATATACAGTACTGACATGGTCCTTTTCTATCAAAATGGTTTGGTTGTATCATTAGTTTTCACTATTATTTTTGACCTCTTGCAGCTTTTGATCAGTTTTCCCAGACAGAAAAGTGAAAAAGAGAGGACCCCACCCCAAGATATATTTTCTAATACATTGAAGTTGAAGATGTGGTCTGATTTGTTCAACCTTTTTACTCCCTTTGAACAAAAATGTAGGTACCCATTGTATAGGGAAATTACATTGAATTTATAGATTTATCCACATCATGTGCCTAACTGTGACATAACAAAGTACCATTTTACTTCAATACATACATAAATGTTAAAATGGTTTACAATGTCTAGTTGGAGTGAATGAATAATGACATGTAAAGCGTCTTTGAGTGTCCAAAAAAGCGCTGTATAAAACCGATGCATTATAGTTGTATATTGTTATATAATTGCACCTATTGTATAAAGGGTATTCAATCTATTTTTTGCATATTGTTTTTTATTAGCGAATACATAAATCCTTCCCAAAAGATTCCGCAATTTTAAGATCCTACCTCAAATAACACCTGGTGAAAATTTAAGAATTGAGAATGGGCTTATTCAACATCCAAGCTATGCACCACAATGAAGCATGTTATTTTAGAAGGCAGCCAGGTCGGTGTTAATCCAATCAGATTAGCTGGTGGTAAGCGGTGGCGGCCCCGCGCTCCAAAGCTGGTTATGCGGGCTCATCCCTGGGTATAGCTTCGTGCCCAGTCGTCCTAGCAGCTCCAGCTTCGGTCAATGCATGGGTCTAAATCTCTTCACTTATCAATGCGGGCCGCTTATCCTTGTCCCCAACCATGACTCTGATTGGATTAGCCACAGTGATCAATACTCCAAATCCCAGAGTGCATCAGGCTTTGTTTGTGTACTGACATGGAGGATTTATACTACTGTAATGGCGCAGCGCAGCTATTATCCGTCGGCCAGAGAAGCAAAATCAGTCCAGGCGCCTGTCAATAGCTGATTCCTGTGTGCATTAAAAGCCTGTTGTGGTAAGAGATTCTGCAGCGTATCGTTAGCGCGTGCAATATGTAAGAGGGGGTGTTGTCGATACGACTGACAGCGTTTCTGCTATTGAAATAAGTTGAAATTGATGATAGCTGATGTGAAGGCCGATACAAGTGGAGCTGTAGAGTTTATGTTATGAGAAAAGTTTGTTTCTAAAGTTTAGGAGAGTCCAAACTATGGCCCAAGTGTCCAAATACTGCCCTTTATTTTTTCTAGACCTCAAGACTTCCCAGTAATTTGGCCCTTATTAAGCGAATATTCCCAACAATTGAAAAATACAGATGATTGTTGTTTATTGATGTTATGTGATGTTATAATGTATTTATTAGTGCATGGAACATCTGATAGATTGTCTGATTGATCTGGGGTTTTGTATACGGCCTATGTGTGGCCCAAGCATCTGAGCTCTTTGGGAATTTATTTTTTTCAAATCCTTTTTCTAGTTCTACTTTTAATTGTCACACTTTTGAACTAGAAATTGTGGGGTAGTATTTAGGAAACATATTTCCTTCTTAAAAAGATTGATATTATTTCCCACCAGTCTGTCCTCTGGTCTTTGAATAAACAGCCGTGTTGAACAATCAATATCCACATTTCGATGCAACCAAGGTAAGGCATGACAATTTAACTTCATGCTATTATTATTATGAATATTTCGCTGGGTCATTTTATTCATCAAAAGTAAACTACACTGTTTCATTAATGAATTACTTTTTATTACATTATTATAAATCATTTTATGCATTTTTCAAGAGACCAAAATTTTTTCATTTGGATACGTGCATCAACCAACATGCTTTACAGCCTGGATGCACGAGGACGCTAGGGCACTGCACTAGTATTTCAGGTCTACATACAAATTATACATACAGTGCAGCTGTTTTTTCACTAAAAATAACAACTAATTGAAAAAATAATTGTCGACGACTCGACTACTAAAATAATCGTTAGTGACAGCTCCATGGGATATGATATAGTAGATGATAATTATATTGGTCATAGATTTATTGCATTGTTGTATGGCCTCGTAATAAGCTTGATCAGTGTCGGTGGAAAACTCCCATCCTCTTGATAAACGGTCCTTTAAATCACTAATAAGCCAAATTGTAATTCTCCACATCCATCCAAAGTCTCGCAAATGAATCGCCAAACACTATTAAATACTGTTAATCCCCAATCGGAACACGGCCCTAATTGTCATTTCCGAGCTATTGTCCTTTTATAAATCGGACTGCTCTTTTCCCGAACAGCTCATAACTAAGATTCATACCCCAGTTAAAGGCGTAATTGGCTCGCGCTCTCGCACAACAGTTGGCTGCGCTGCCCTCTGATGAAAAAAGCACCTCCCTGGAACGCGCTAAAAGGCTGGCATGCTCACACCTAAACTTCACACCACATTCCGGGCGCGAAACAGCCCTGATGCGCCTCTCCTCTGCAATGGCTCCAGGCTGCGGTGTTGACGGCATGCTTCTAAAAACAACCGCTTCTTTTCGCAGCCCTGGAGTTCAGCTATGGGTCAGGAGGAGGAGGTCACCAAGGCAACCCAAACACCTTCCCTTTAGTTCGGTCAAGTCTTCCGGTAGAGGGTCAGGTCTCTGGGTAGAGTACGAGAAGTGTCGGAATATAGAAGTTGCGTACGATTCCAAAGGTTTTGCGAAGGGCAAACTGGAGTTCAGGTTGGGGATAAAAGTAGTTTGTGTGTTGGGAGTGTGCTAATAATGGCGTTCAACTGGATGCAATTAATGACGCACGATGTGGCACCCTTTTCTTTGAACTTTTGAACTGATTTTGTAAAGGTTTGAACTATTGTGACTCTATGGCAGGGGTCTTAAACAAGCTGAAAGGTTTAATTCCAGTGCGGCCACCACTGAGAGTCTGGGCCTATATGGAGAGTTTTATACATGATTTTATCAAGAAAATAACCATGGTATTTATACTATCATAAAAATTCAAACCTGAATGCAAAAAGTACTTAAAAGTAAACATCATTCAATTCTACAATACTCAACCTTCATTGCTTTTGGTCCAGTTTTGTTTCAATCCAGATTCTTTTGTACCCTTTCATTTATATTTATTGATATCTACACTGCTATTCAATAAACGTAATGGGTCAAAAAACCTTCATGATTATAAAATACAAAAGATGAGCTACTGTATTAAAAAAAACTTTCCACAAATGCTCGATTCTTGGTTTTCCCATCTTTAAGTGTCTCTCTTACAGTTCTGGTGTTTACTTTCTCAGTTGTTTAAGTTTAAGTTGTTAAAGAATAAGAAGAATGTCTCGTCTTTGCCTCAGATACAGGGTTTTATTGTGACAGGGCAAACTGCTGAATGAAGCCTGATAAATTCAAATATCCCATAGGAAAAAACAACTGTATTTGACGATATGTTGTGGTCTATAATCAAACATTTCTTAAATACATAGGCATTTGTTACAATAAGTAAATTGGAATCTAAAAAAACACTCAGAAGGCAGAGCTTTGGCAAGAAGTTCTATTCTTGATTCCATTCCTTGTCCCATTTCTGGGATTTACTGAAAATATGTTTAAAAAACCTCTCCACCTTCTCCACCGACTCCCACTGATGACTGCTGTCGTTGTGTCCTTGGGCAAGACACTTAACCCCACTTTGCCCAAAAGCCCCCACTGAAAGATCAAGGCTATGCTCACACTCAGAGAGCAGCCGTCCTCCTGTGGACTCACCACCTGCAGAGGGTCAGTGAGGGGCTGGTGCTATGAGACTTGGGTGGCATCTCTGATTGCCACCCCCCTGACCCAGAAATGGATTAAAGGGTAGAAAATGGATGGATGGATGTTTAAAAAAACTTTATTTTGCTAATAAACAGACCCAGATAAAAACATAATGATGACCATCCTGCTGTTTTAAATCATTTATCCTGTATAGCGAACTATCTGAATGACGTCACTAAGACACGCCCCCGCCGCCTGTCAACTCCCGCCCACATGTTTCGGACAAACACTGCCAAAATGAATCAAATACCTCTTGTCACTTTAGACGAAAATGATAAACCAGGGGCAAAATTCCACCATCAAACCATCAGGGATCATAGTGTAGACCAATTAAAACGTTGGCTTGAATGTCGTGGTCTTCCAGTAACTGGTAGAAAGTTTGATTTGATAAAAAGGTAATGGTGAGGATTATGCTAACATTATCCTGTCATTTAAATTGCAATGTTAGCGCCTTCTTTGTTTATTTTGCTCTGATTAACTTCCATTTATCAAGTTGTTTTTTGTACTGTCCATTTCGTAATTAGTTTGATCATTTAGTTAACTACAGTCAGCCGATATTATAATAGATCCATGGGGTCACAACGGGCTACACCACTACTGTCTCTGAGAGAGAAACTATCGGAGCTAGCCACACTCAGTAAACGCAAACGACAATCAATCAACATATTTAAATGTTAATGCTAGACAGTGGCGGCCGGCCAATAGAGGGCGCTAGGGCGCCGCCCCACCACTCACAACTTGCCATGTTACCTTGAATAAAACGTTAAAAAAAATAATAACATTAAAATATTTCGAAATGTATGTGTGTTTTATTTCAGATGTGGAAGAAATACTTTATAGTTTATGCTGAGTTGGATTGATTAAGCTCATCAGCGCTGTCTGTGTCGGACTGAGGACGTATTTCCGCCTCAGGGCGCAAAAGATTGCGCCCTGAGCCGTCTATGGACTCTCGTTAAAAGTTGTACATGCGCAGTAGCTCCTCTTCAATGCAAGAGATAAGACGATTTGGGGGCGCAGGAGAAGTGCGCCCTGAGGGGGCGGGATCGCCCGCGACCTGTACTGTCACTGTCTGTGACGTCCGTTTACAGTGATTGACAGGTCAAGCTGTGGGAGTTTGAGACGAACGTAAACAGACGCAACATGGAGAACGAAAAAAAGAATAATTCAGTTAGATCACTCAAAACAATACCGTTTGAGAGAAGATCATACCAGGAGAAGGTTGAGGTTAAAGAGCTTGGACCTGATCAGCCAAATATTACCATTAGTCAGCAGTCCAGCGACAGAGGGAGACGGTACACTCGTACTTTTTCCAGGACCTGGTTCAGCGCCAAATCTTGGCTAGCAGCATGTAGCGAGGCTAATGCTTTATTTTGCTTTCCATGCCTCTTGTTTCAAACATCAGGATCTGACCCAGCATGGATCAAGACAGGTATGACTGATCTGAAGCACTTTTTAGAAAAGGCAAAGAAGCATGAGCAGACTGGTATCCACATGCAAAATGCCCTCAAATTAGCTATGTTTGGGAAGATAAATATTTCATCCCAGCTGGATGAAAGCTACAGGGTAGGGATCAGAAAGCACAATGAGGAGGTTGACAAGAATAGGCACATCCTATCAAAAATAATAGACTGTGTCAAATTCTGTGGTGCATTTATATCTAGTCATCATATTCATAGCCCCCCCAGTAGAAAATTCCACCAGCCGCCACTGATGCTAGAATATAATATTCATACAACACACGTGCACAGAGGTTTTCAGAATTATCTGTTAAGGTTTTCATGACAAAAATACTTTTTTAATGCGACTAAAGCGATCGCTTTTTTAAAGTAGGTGAACTAAAACCTTTGGGAACTATTTTCTTTGCACTCATTAAATAAACCTTTTGGCATGAATAGTGACTGAAGTTTATTTTGTGTGTTCAGTTGGTACAAAGCCGTATAATAAGCGGACCCCAACGCGCTTCGTCTGTGCTTATTTTCCGATAGTCACGAAGTTGAAAAAATCCCTCTCATCTTTCTTCAGGTGTGAGAATTGTATACATTCTGGATTAGGACAAACAATACTAATATGGATTGATGGGGCTAACTACATTCAGAAGAGCTCAGACGGACCTGATACAGCGGTCCAGGTCCAGTCCCAGCTAAACGTAGCTAGGACTGGATCTGGAGGCTCCACAGTTGGTCCAGCGAAGTGTTTTGAAAAAACATGTCCTTTTTAACATTTTCATGAGAGAAATTCTGCTGACCACAAGCACCCACCTCTTGCACTTGTCCTGGTCTGGTCCTGGTCTGGTCCTGGTCTGGTTCGATGGTGTGGTTTAACGAACAGGTTGAATGTTACTGCTTTCATATAGTCCTTTTCAGAGTATCTGAAATCGCTCCCACAAGCACCATAACTGCAGTGTTTTGTTGTCACCATGATTCAATGATTTAGCCCAAATAAATACACACGCTTATGTGGAGAACACAGTAGTACTCAACGGAGTCGGACAGAGTTTGTCCGAAACATGCGCGCATGCGCAGTCATTGGAACTATTTTTAGCACATTTCGGAAACCGGACAGTGCCCTATTGAAAATGACAGACGCACACACAGAACGTGGCATGCCTCTTTTGTCTAACTAATGTAAGCAAGAGCATGCTACCAAGACAAGATTTTTCTCTTGGAATTCTCAATAACAGCTTACTGTAATCTTTATTTATATACCGTCTTTCACAGACCAGAGTCACAAAGCGGTTTACAATTGTTATTTTTTGGGCATTTGTCTCCACACAGAGATGGGAGCGGGGTCGCCAGTACAGGAGGCGCATGCCAGACCTACATGTTTTTAGTGGTAGGGGAAACCGGAGTACCCGGAGGAAACCTACGCAGACACGGGGAGAACATGCAAACTCCACTCAGAAAGGCTCTGGGCCGCCTGTACTGCTGGTACAGCTGCAATCAGATTCCATTGTTATGGAATGTGTTGGGCAATACTTTTATAATTGTACAAGCTTGTAACTGTTGCCATATCAACCATTCAGTTTGATGTGTGAATGTTAATTGGCATTTACCAAACTCAGTGGAACTTCATAGATGAACAATAATAACACCTTGGATTAAAATCTGCACTTTTCAAAAATGATCAAAGCTCTTTACTAGCATAATGCACTCCATGTTTTGGCTGACCACCAACTGTAATTAAGCAAGGCACTTTGAGTGCCTTGCACTAGAACACTCAGTGATAAACATAGGATTCTGCAGTGTTGCCAAATCATTTTGTAAAGCATAAAGTAGCAAGATATGCAATTTGGCAATAGTTGTAGGCAGCAAGTCGGTGAACATTTCTTTTGTTGAATCGATTTGGATCAATTTCAAAACGTATTTTAGACACTGCAAAAATTTGTCACAGGCATCCATGGAAGATGTAGCAGCCAAAGCACGACACGTCTTCTCCAAAGGTAAGGCCTATATCTGGGATTCTGACTTGGATCAATTCTGAAAGCTCCTTAGGTGATTCTCTACGGACAAATTGCTATTGATTCGTGCTATATTCTGTCATTTCACAGCATAGAGTTTAAACACGGACATGGACCCATAAAACCCTGAAAGCCTTTTAGCTTTGCCCTAGCAATAGCGTTTGGATTGAACACACGTTTGTCATTCTATTAGTCTCCAGTGAAGCCCATACCTGATTCAAAACCGTACGTACAAAGTGCCATTGATCAGGCGGCGTTG